TCTATCTATCTATCTATCTATCTATCTATCTATCTATCTATCTATCTATCTATCTGCCTGTCTCTCACTTTCTATCTGAGTATGTCTCTCTCGCTTTGTTTCACTCTCTGCCTTTTGAGCGCTCGTAAATTTTTCTCTATCTCCACTCATTGTTTTACTGACCTGTCACTTTACAAGACATCTTTCTTACTCCCTATATTGTATAGTACAACAACATCAAAACAAAAACATATCTTCTAATACACACTCTCCTGGTAGATCAACACTTCCTCTCTATCTCGAATACTGATTATAAGGGATGTTAAGAGGCGTAACGCAAGCTTGACGTAATTAGGATTGAGGTGGAAAGTAAGAGGTAAGTGCATGGACGTGTTTACCACGAGATGGGATTCTACGGTCTTCTGCTCCCGATACTAACGTAGAGTTTTCCGTTGCTGGAAATGTCATTATCACAAGCACTTTGTGTACCCCTGACGCTGATAAATCACATCATTCTCGGGGTGTGAGGCTAGGTAGGTGGAGGTAGCTCTTCATAAGGTTTCCTTGTTGTTGTTTTTGTTGCTCTTTGCCTTGTCTTTGTTGTTATTGTAACTCTTGTTGTAGTTGTTTTTATTGTTGTTGTTGTTGTGTTGTTGTTGTTGTTGTTGTTGTTGTTGTTACTGTTGGTTCTGTTGTTTGAAATTTCGTGATCATTGTTTTAGTTGTTGTGATCAGCAATGATGTCAGGGGTGAAATCGGTTGAAAGGGGTGTGGGAGGTTGAAAAGGGGGGGTGGGGGTGGTAGGGGGAACCGGACTGCCCTGTTAACACTGTTCGATATCGGTATGACTATGAGCTGATGTTTGGCCTCCTTTGGTTTGAGGTCTGGGGCTCCGATGTGTTTGATACAAACACGAAGAGGTTGACGCCAGTTGTCCTAGTGTTATTGTTGTTGTTACTTATGTTGTTATTATTGCATCTATTATGCTGCTGCTGTTGTCTTTTATTAAAGCAATATTGTTGTTGGTATTCTAAGAAACATTATAAAACCTCATATCCAATTATGAAATATTTTAAATACGGTATATATATATATTAATATTTAAAAATACTCTAAGTGAATCTCGTTTTCATAAATTATGAATGTTAAGGCACTACAAAAAACAGAATGACCTGAAAACATAGCAATGAATTATCTCCACCAATATATGACAAGAAACACGCATTCTTAAACTCTTCAAAACTGAAGTATTAAAGACTTTAAAATTCTAATACAGAAGCTGCTCCTGCTTTGCGCTCGCACTGAAAAAGGAAACGCGTTTTTTATCACTGGGTGTGTCTTTTGTGAAGAAAAACATAAACAAACGTGAAGTGTTTTCGCCTCTGTAAAGACGCTCCCAACTTTCGTTTTCTTTATTTTGCGATAAAGTAGACATCTCTTTCTCTCTCTCTCTCTCTCTCTCTCTCTCTCTCTCTCTCTCTCTCTCTCTCTCTCTCTGC